AGGCGTGCAGACTGGGCACCCTGAGGAAGGCTGTGGATTTCCGGCCCCAGACTTAAGCCCTTGGGCTCCCAGACCGGACCCTCGAGACCAGGGCACTCATGGAAGTTTGGGCCTGCTTCCTCCCCCCGGCCCCGCCCTGGCTCCGAGCTGCCCGCCCCCGGCCCGCGAAACAAAGGGCTTCTGCGGAACCCGGGCTCGGGCGTCCACCCTCACCAGCCCGAGCAGCGCCTCCTCGTCCCCGCCGTGCGCGACACGCGCACGCACACACAAAGGCGTGCCATTGTACCTCCAGACCCAGACAGACGCACGCGTGCGCACGTACACCCAGACCCAGACAGACAAAAGCGCGTGCACACGCACACGCACGCAGTCACAAACTGAACCACACGGACTCGCGCACGCACAGATCGACCTACGGACGTGGAAGCTGCCTAGGAGAAGGGCTTGTGCACAACCGACTGTCCACAGATGCGGATGCACATATAGGTGCAGTACACTCGCATATATATATATATGAAATACACTCATAATCAATGACACACAGGCGTGCAGGCACGACACTCGCGGTCACAAGCACGAGTGCACACGCACAGCTGCACACACCCACTGCCACAGTCAGCTAACCACGCAGGCGCACATAAACACGCACAGACTGGCGTAGACGCAACGAAGTTCGCCGGCCACACAATGGCGTCTTTTTTTTTACTGAATAAATGAGTCACCCATCACAAAACGTGGAGACAGGTGGGGCTCCCTCCCTCCCACTGATCAGGAGTGGGTAAGTGATCATTAAAGCCCTCGACCACTGCTCTCCACCCCCAGATAGGACTGGAGAGAGGGGAGGAGGGAGAAGCATCCCAAGCCAGAGCCACCACCACCCCCTTCCCTGGTCCTATGCCAGGCGGTGTTTAATCATGGACAAGGGGGCTCGCCAGGCCTGGGGTTTTATGCAGCCGGGGCTCGGGGCCCGCACTCATCCTGTCTGCGCAGTAAATTGCAGTCTTTTTGTGAACGTGGTTGTTCACACTCCTCCTCCCCCCTCCCCTTTTTGTTGCAGTTGCTATGGGTTACCAGGGCGGTTGCCATGGGTTACCGGACCAAGGGCGGCTGCCTGGTTACCTGACAAACAGTCCCAGCAGCCCGAGCCTGCTGGAGACTGTGCATATTGCAAGCCAAGGCTGGGGAGGAGGGGAGGAACGCGCGTGTGCGGGGCACAGAGAGAAACACGCAGAGAGAGCGCGTGAGCGTGTGCGCAGACCACTGAGACAGACCCCCGCACACAGTCAGTGTGTGTTTGCAGCTTCAGGAAAACTACTGGAAGTGGGTGGGGGGGAGCTATAAAGAAGGCCCGGAGGTAAGAAGCTAGCCAGAGCGCTGCTTGAGAAGCTGCCCGGCCTCTGGCTGCAGACCCAGGGGCGTTGGCGAGGGGGACCAAGGGGAGCTGTCTCTCGAGCTCGCCACCGAGAGTGTCCAGACACAAGAGTGTAAACGCACGGGTAAATGGGGCTTCGTCCTGGGGTTTTTTCCTTTTTCCGATATAGTCCATGGCTCAGAAGGCATAGGAATTGTGCAGAAAAAGAAAAGGGTCGTGGACGAGCAGATCTTGAACTGCTCAATCAGTTCTGTACAGTGAGTGCACTTGTCAGGACTATGAGGGAGGAAGTTTCCTGCAAGAAAAGGAAGCTCCAGAGTGGGGTCAGACTTAAGGGGACAATGGTGCCTGGGGGCTCTCTTTCTGCAGGAGGGACCCAGAATTGTAAACACTGGCTCTTTTTTTTTAAGGCAGCCTTCCTTACCTTATTTACATATTTTTCAGATTCTCACCTCCATCATACAAACTGTAATCATTTTTTGTGAGAGGTTTTTTTGGGGGAGGGTCATTGGAGGGGCAGCGGTGTTTTGTAAAGTTGTTGCTAAAAACTTTAATGCCATGCAGCATTGGGGTTTTTTTTTTTCATCTAAAAATTTTATTCCAGCCCGTCTACACAATAAAACCAGCAAACAACAATTTTTTTTCCTGGAAGAAAATATTTCCACCTCAGACCAGGGTGACAAGGGTGCATTGTGTTCAAAATGTAGCAACAAAACAACTTGAAATGTTAAGGATGTTCAGTTAGAAAGAATATGGAGCAAGGGGTTTGGGGGGAGAGAGATACGGGGGGCATTTTTGTCTTAAATATTTAAAGGCCTATCTTGCATACCTTTGTGGCTCAAGGGCTGAAAATGTCCTTGTGGCTTGATGCTGGCCAATCTTCAGGGAGCTAAAGAAGATTATTTCCAAATAAAACTAAAATGATTGTTGAATATACTTCCAGAATTGGGACTAAATTCATCTTTTTTTATTTATAAGAACTGCTGAGGAAATCTGCCTCTCCTCTTTTCCAAATGTATGTTTGTATTTAATTATGCAATAAAATGTGAATTAGTCTTGGAGAAAATGCCACACTGGCAAGACCTTTCTCAACGGACATTGTTTGTAAATGCTCGTGAGCTTAAAAATACCAGGCAACTTCCTTGGAGTGCTGTCCTTTTGGTAGCAATTTTAAAAGCATAACATTTTAAAAGAAGAATATTAATTATTATCCTAAATGTAGGACTTTTGAATAGCATAACAGGTCTTTGAATTTCATGCTGGAAACCTTCAAGTTCCACATAAACCAATTAAAAGGAAGGGTGAGGAGAGGTAGGGAAGTATTGCCTTTCAAAAAAAATCCCAAATATCTAAGTTAATAAGAGCTAAGCACTACTACTCCCAGCAAACCATAAAACATTTTCAAGTATTTGACATTTGCTTTTTTTTATATTTATTTTTTAAATAAAAAATTTTAAATAAAAATCACTGAATGGCACTTACTCTCCATAAGTTTCCCTAAGTGTTTTTGCCTCCATGGAAAGGTTTATGTGGAATCAATCCAGGTAAGTAAGAATGCCATCGAAGATTTGAACAAAGCATGGAAATGGGGGGTGGGGGTGGGAGAGGTTAAGTTCAACAGAACTGCTATCTCACATCCAAATTCATGAGACTGGCAGGAAATAACTTATTTAGTCGTCCTGTGTTTGGAAATCAAAACAACCAAACCAAAAATAATATCCCCAAACTTTAACTGTAAAACAACCATTTGGGAAAACTAAATTCAATTTGCCAGCATTCTTTAGGTGATTTGAAAAAAACAATAAAAATAAAGATCTCAATGAAAAAAAGAAAGATTTTTTTTTGTTTCTCAGAAATAAACCAAACAGGCCAGACTAGATTTGTTCACATTTAATTTAGAAACAAAAATCCACTGAATCTTACGGAACAAATCACAAGGTAGACATTTTGATATTTATGTTACGAGATCTAAAAATAACAGTAAAATTTATGGCTGATAACATGTTTTCTAAAAATATTCCAAAAGTGAAATAGTGATTGTAAATTCAAACATATATTGCTAAGAAAAATAAATAAATAAATCTAATACCTAGATGGCAAGCCACCCCCTCCTTCTTCCCTTACCCCTGTACCGTTACCAGGGTGATTAGAAAAGCTCTTAAATCTTGTGGGGGGGTTTTCCCCCGTTTTCAATTAATGGCTCTCCCATGATGCAGTAACAGGCCTCACATACTAAATCAAGATCCTAAGCAAAATCTATTAAGAGTTTAGACCAAACAAGAAAGCAAGACAGCAAAATTAAGAGGACAATTCTTGTCTTCCATTTTTTGTTTTGTGTAGTTATTTCAGTACAATCCTTTGACCTCCATTAGGAGTTTATTAATAATAGAATGACAAAAATACTCCCGATATTAACTGCCTTTTGCAACCATCTTCCTCCAGCCTCCAGGAGGAAAGCTAAGAGAAGCAACAAGTTACCTCCATTTCTTTGTAAATATCTTCCTGCCAGTTTCTCAAAAGGGAAACTGATTACTTTGTGCAACTGGACAAGGAAGAAATTTGGATAATTATCTTATTAAAGTGCTATGTCAACAGAAAGTTATCTAAGGGTATGTTTTACTTGACTGCAACATTTCTCAAGTGTAGCCTTAAAGGGGGTAAGGGAATCAATACTTTTTTTTTTAATGCATAATCAATTAGTTAATCTTATTTCCTAAACTAGCAGAATACTTTTTGGTAAACATCACCTTTAGGCTTGTTTTTAAGATATGTCTTTCCACTTAATGAAGACATTAGTAACAATCCCTAGAAATACTGAGAAATTTCAAGTGAAGAAATGACACATTTTGAAAGAAAATAAATGAATCTCTATCTGCCAAATGCATGATAAAAGCAAAAGCTGAGGATCTCCAAATTTGAGGCTTAGGCTGATCCTTGATTGTGAAGATGTTTTGCTAAGTCTGAAGAGACATTAGTTGCTATATTTATTTGAATTTGCACTCATGAGTAAAAAGAATTTTAATACTGGTCAGTGTTCCTAAGCTGTATGTTCCATCTGTGTGCACAATAAGTAGCAGGCTAGAAAGCTGAGCAGCCCTAGCTAGGACCGACTCCTAGGACACATTCACACTAACATCCCAGTTTTTCCCTGTATAGGGGAGGGAGCCACAAAGTATCAGCAAATCTTGTTGAGCTACTGCGGTGGGGGATGGTCCTTGCTAGAATATGGCCTGCAAAATCTATGACAGGTTTCAAAAGTCTGTTTAAAGTGACATGTTAATGTAGGGGAAATGCAATATCCTGGTTTTAAACTGTGTTTATGTACCAAGTGTATTTTTTAATTGAACAAAACCAAAGGTTTTACATATGCACATGCAAGTTTAAATTCACACCTTTACATTAACATAAATCATTTCCTATTGGAGCAGGAGCTAATTTATCAATCATTTTTATCCTGAAAATTCAGTATTAGGCATTTTGAGGACTCATAGCCAAGAGTGTTTTCCTTCTCCTCTGCCTTGACAAAATAAGACAACATAAAATCCTTAACTTGGAACCCTTAATGAACTTTAAAAAAAAAAAGGGTGTGGGGGGGCAACAGCTTTGAGAACACATCACCAATCACATCTCCTTGACAGAAGTGCTTTATGTAGAGAGGTACTATTGTGAACCAACCCTGTCCTTATGACATGGGCATAATTTCCTATTTCTAAGATAGTAACATAAAGATTATTTTTCAGGATTCTTGAAGAGCTGGGTTTGTTTTACATCCATGTGGACTGTTGTCTTTACAACTGTGACCAAGCCCGGAGGATGAACTGCAAAAAAAAAAAAAAAGAGAGAGAAAAAAAATAATAAAAAGAGGAAATTGGTTTTCACAACACACTCAAAGGCTGAGTAACAGAGGAGAACTTTAATTATCTCCAGTCACAAAGAGAGACAGGAAATTTGGACTTTTAATTAGCCATTTGGAGTGCAGTTGGATATTTTTTTAGCTAGATAATTTAAACGCGAATAATTCAAGTCTGACTAAATGAAATTCACATAATCAGAATGCAGATAATTGAATTTCTACTGCATTCATTAATTCAGTGTGGAGGTGTGTGTGAAGACTTCTATGATGAGCTGTCACAGCTCAATAAAATCTCAGTCAATTAATTTTTTCATTATCTTAGTATTACATCAACAAAAAAGTGAAGAGTGTGTGTGTCTGTACACAAATATGTGGAATGTAAATACATATACACATATAATATATGAAAAAACGAATGTAACAAAGTACCTTTCTGAGCCGAACTCTATAGAATTGTCTTTTTTTCCGCCCTCATCATCTTCTTCAGGAAAACGTCTGTTTGAGGAAGCAAACTTATGAATTGCTTCAGTAACAGAATATCTTGTCTGTCCAGAAACACAGGCCTCGATATCTTCAGAACTTAAGTGACTCTGTAAGAAGAGGTGAAGTCTGCTGTCCGAGAGCAAAAGGGCATTTTGTAGGATCCTATTTAAAAATACAGACATACGTAAGGTTGGGAGACTGGAAAGGAGACCTGAAGAAGAAAAACATTTTTAAAAATATGAGAAAGTTCACATCAGCTAGACCTACAATTAAGGTAGACACCTATTAAGGTGATGTTAGCATATGTTAACTTTTATTAAATTATTTGGAATTTTACGTGAGTAAAAACATGAAGCTAATAGAGAAAGACATCTGTTATAAGAATAACTCCAAGGGCATTTCTGCAATTTACCCATCTGCCACGGCTGTGCGGAGCAATTACAGAAATATTTTGCTTATATAATCATAGAAATTTATTCTCCTTTAAAGAAGTTTTTCAATGGCTAACCACAAGCTCAGCTCAGTGATCTTTACTGGTTGGACAGTACTGAGAAGTCAAGTTTCTCAAGGATGCTTAGTTTAAAACAAGTACATGTGAATAATAGGATAACTACAGTTTAGTCGTGTTTTACAAATTTGCCTTAACGTATAAGATGTATATGTATATGCTTAGATATGGACATATAAAGTCTGGCTTAAGTAAGATTTTTTTAATAATCCTAAATTTGAATTTAACATTTCTCCAATATCTTTACCTGCATCAGGATTTGGATTGTTAGAATCAGCAACCTAATTTAAGAATTATTTTGTTTCATTAAACATGTGGCTAGAATCTGAGGCACCAGGAATGTCTGTGAAGTTAAACCTCCTATGTTACAGAAAGATTTGTCCAAAGATATGACCAAAGATTCTAACTCTCATATCACAATTATGTCTCGAGAAGATTACTACATGCATACTAAATTCCAGCCGATGAGTAACCATAGATGTATTGTAATGGAAGATCCTCTGTTTAGGAAACACACTTCCTCTGATTCGACCATTCACGTAAACCTAAGCACTATCACCTCTTACCCAAGCTCAGGAAGGTCTGGGTTTGATCTTTGATGCATTGTTCAATGATAGGTGAATTTCCTGTAACTGACATGACACAGGAGCTTGAAACACCAACTTAAGTGGCCAGAATTAGTGCTGTCCAAAATTCAAAGACAGGCCTGTGGAATTACAGAACTTTACAGCCAGCTCTGTGGAATACCGATTTCTTCCCCATCCAACAAAATGGACCTGATTTTTTTCTGTTTTTGGAGACTTGACTAAATGAGGAGTGCGCATATGGGGTTTATTTTTATCTCCTTAAAAATCTAGGGTCATCAATATGATGGAAAGACTCCATTTATTTAGGCTCATATGTATGATATAGATAGAGATGGCTATATATAGCTCAAAATGAGATAGCCTGGATCAAATGAGATAGTAATTGTTAAGCGTTTAGCACTGTGCCCGGCACATAGTAAGTGCTATATAAATGTTAGCTAATATGCCTAGACATATGTACAAGTGTATTATATACATAAATATATTTTTTCTTTTGAAGATGTGTTTTGAGCCTTTGCATCCTGAGGAATTGGTATTTGCACATGTCTGCATGTATGTTCAGGTGTGTATGTGTGTCGATGTGAGTGTGTTTAATTATACATATGATATGTACACAGGAATGAATGTGTATGTGTGCAGGTATATAGATTATGTGGCTATGCATACAGAGGTGTGAGAATGTGACTCTTGATATAGAGATTGTGATAGCATGCATAGACTGAAAATGGGCATTTGTGCCCAGACACATGAATATGCACGCGCATGTGTGTCGATGTGTCTACACCTATCCCAGTACCTAGTACCTTAACCTATTTTATGTATATGTGTACACATGTACACAATGTATTTTTTAATATCGTGCTTTGCTAAGTGCTTGTATCCTTGAACGACATGGCATATACATTTATATGTATGTGAACACATGTGTAAACATACTTAGCAAAGCATTGCATCAAACAAAAAAAATCAATCACAACCACACACACACACACACATATCCATACAGATCTGCTCCACAAACAAAACAGACCGAGGTTTCCTTTTCCAGTCCGGGTCCCAAAAGAATTTCTAAGCGGCACAAGTTTCCGGCCACCCAAGGAAGACTGAAGGGTTGATTTTTTTTTAATGTGACATTTCCAAGCCAGAGATCTAAATCATTCTTCTTTGCCTTGCCCCCCTACTCACCCCTCCAAAAAAACAAAAACAAAAATCTCTAATGTGCTCATTCCATGAAAAAACGGCACACAACACCCAATTCCAGCCACTATCCTCAGTCTGACCCCACTCAGAAAGTTTGCTTTCTGCATTTGCAAATAGCTCTCATGCATTAAATATTTCCAATGAGGAGAAGCTCGGCAAGGACCCCGCCCAGCCCAATCAACTTTTCTGTGCTGGGCGTGGGGGGAGGGTCGTGGATGGGGGGGTGGGGTACAGTTTCACGCAGGGCTTCCTGCCGCTTACCTCCAGCCCCTTCCTGCCCTCCAGCCCGGGATAAGTAACTCTTTCTGAGATTGAACTTAACTGCTTTGTTGCTGTTGGAAATGTATTTTATTTTCTTTATAAAATAATGGGCAATCTTTAAAATTGATTTCCGATGGTTTGAGGCATTACACCACAGAAGTAATGAGCACTAATGTCAATGATATCGGACACAAATTCATTTTGGCTTTATTTCATGTCTAAAGCAATTCGCCCAAGCCTTGAACTGCTCAAGCGCCGTTATTAACTTGCGAGCAAGCTAACACATGGGAGCAGCCACGAACGTGATAAGAGCCGGCCTGAGCCGAACCTCAAGGCTACTGTCCCTTTTCTCCGGCTATAATTCAATTTCCAATTTTACTTTACGTTGGACTCATTAGTCCAGCGTTTTCTTTCCTGCTTAATGGCGCCACCTGGAGGGCAGACCGGCGAGGCGCCGGAGCGCTCCCGCCGCAGCCTCCCAGGCTGAGCCCGGGCAGGGTGGGGCGCAGCCGGGCGGGGTCAGGCGGGAGGAAGGATGCTAGAACCCTCCTGAGGACCCTTTTCGGAAGCAGCTGCATCCCGGGCCGTCTGAAGCGGCTCCATTTCCTGGGCACTAAGCTGGATTGGAGAACACTCTGCCGGTCCTGGAGTACTGGAACATGTTTTTAAATTAAAAATAAAAAAGGCTTCCTTTCGTTTTTTGTGGGAGCAGGAAAAAAAAAAAATCATCCTACGAGGAATTACTAAGGAAAAGGAAATGGGCATTCACCCTGGTCCAGCAGGCCTCAGTATAGATCACCCCTCCGTGGCATGCTTCTCTTAATTTGGAGCTCCATCATTCTGCCCTCTTATATTTACCATACTTTCTCTAAACCAACCCCGATCCAATCTAGAGAACCTACTACGTGCCATATATTGTGCTGGGGATACAAAAACAAAATGATCCAGTGGAAAGGCTCCTGGTTTTGGAAGTCAGAAGGTCTGAGATCAAATCCTACCCATTACTACCTGTGTGACCTTCCCTTCTCTGCCTCAGTTTCCTCATCGATAAGATGAACAGGTTGGACTAGAAGGTCTCTGGGGTCCCTTCCAGCTCCAGAACTCTGAAACTATTTAAAAAACCGACTTCAAGAAATTACCATTCTCCTGGGGGTAGAGGTAGGGCGCAGGGAGAACAGATACACCACGTCAAGTGTGATCATAAATAAGTGTGAGCATTCATGGGTGCTGGGTGCTGGGTGCTGAGGATACAAAGACAAAATGAAAAACTGCCTGCCTTCAGGCGGCCTACATTCTCCTGGGGGTAGAGGTAGGGAGCAGGGAGAACAGATACACCACGTCAAGTGTGATCATAAATAAGTGTGAGCATTCATGGGTGCTGGGTACTGGGTGCTGAGGATACAAAGACAAAATGAAAAACTGCCTGCCTTCAGGTGGCCTACATTCTCCTGGGTGGAAGAGAGGCCTACAACCTGTAAACAGAGACGTGAACACGTGGTCATTTGGGCAGGCGGAAAGGACCAACCACCAATGGGAGTGACTCAAGTTTTCCCATAAGAAGTGACCCATAATCGGGGATGATGAATGACACTAGAGACCCTCAAAAAAACTGAATGTTTTTAAACCACTTCACATTTAACGGGGACTCTAAACAAATCTAATATAAAAGACTGAGGGCTCAAACAAATGCTCCAATGGAATAGGGATTTTAAACAAACAATGGCTATTTTAAACAAATCTGCCTCACAAAATACATTTACAATGTAATACTAAGAGTCAGCACTTTTGTAGAAGGAAGGAGCAAAAAGGAAGGCTTGACTCCGGGAAGCTGCATGTAACATGCATCCAAAGTCTTCCTTTTGAATGGCTCTCTGGGAGAGAGTGAGGGATACTGGGAAATGCAGGTGATGTTAAAAGAGAAGACACACAAACCATTGAAGTCATTCCTTTGGCTTCACAAGCTGAAGCTGTACAGAGATAAAGCATTTTCCCCTTTATACTGGACAGTCCAAAATCTGGTTTCCCTCACTTTGATTTTATTAGGTACATTATACTCACACAATTCTAATGAAAAGCACCACTGGACTGCACCAATCTGTTGTCACGTTGCCTCACGATTTCCAGTGTCTCTTGGAACCTGGCCTAATAGCAGATGCCTTTTTGGACAAGGGGGAAGGTTAACTGTTGGATTTAGGCTGTCTCAAAAACAACAAATTGACTGTTTGCATGCAACCATTCAAGAAAGAAAGCAAACTTGGTCAGAATCACTGAAGACATCCATGATCTGTGTTCTGGTGCCCTCTACTGAACACAGACTTCCGACAGGAAAGGGGAGGATGCTTTCTCAGGGCCTTCTGAATCAAGCAGGTGAACTGGGCATGCCGGCCGACATTCACGACTGGGAAGAAGATGTGCTAGCAGGCCTGGATTCAGCCAGTAAGCTCCCTACCAGCTTCAAATGTATAATCCTATTCACCTACATAAACTAAGAGAAATTTTTAAATAGGAAAACCAGATGCCAAGGTTAGGAAAGGTCGGCAGTAGATGCCAGCTCACTACTTCAGCCCTGCCTCTCTCCCTTTGTCTCCCCTTATCAGCAAGTCACCTAATGTCTCTGACTTTCAGTATCTTCATCTGTGAAGTAGAGGTAATAATAATTGTACCTACCAAATGACACCTGACATTCAAATTAGGCAGTGAGGTGGGACAGTGGGTAGAGAGAGCACTAGCGCTGGAATCAGGAAGACCTAAGTTTAAATCCAGCCTCAGACAGTTATTAGCAGTGTGACCCTGGGCAAGTCATTTCACCTCCTTCTGCCTCAGTTCCTTCATCAGCTAAATAAAGATAGCAATAGCACCGAATTCCAGGGTTGTTGTGAGGATTCAATGAGTTCATATTTGCAATGCACTATGCAATTCTTGTAGTACTATCTATAAATGGTAGCTATTCGATCGTGCATATAAAGTGCTTTGCAAAAACATGAAGGCATTGCATCAAACTAGTATTATTACTACTAGAAAAATATAGGAAGCTGCCTAAGGCCCTAGGAGCAGACTTTTTGCAAAGACCCCCCCCCCTTACTGTTTCATTCTGTAACTTTCCCATCATGTAAATATCAGAGCAAAATCTATTTTACATTTAATCAGTAGAAGGAAAAAAAATGCCATCCTACACAAGTTATACATGTGGGGCACAAGAATTTTTACTTAAAAGACATATGAACCCAACAACTAATCACATTGGAGAAATGTAGGAATGACAGCCATTGCTGTTTGTATAGCATTTTAAGGTCTGCCAAAATCCTGGGAATCAGCTACTGAGTGGGCATAATTGTCCCCATTTTATAGATGAGGAAACTGAGGCTTGCAAGGTGGCTTTCCCAGCCAGGCAGTGTCAGAGTGGGGACTCAAATCTAAGAGGTGCCCTTTTAACTCTACCAGAATGATTACAACAGATTTTCAAATAATGTCATTATCATAATTTAATAAATATTCATTAGACTAATAATTTAATAATAATTTTAATACTCTTGGCTTTCATTCGGAGGTGCCTGTGGTTTTGCATCTTCTATAGCTCTCTATGGAGACCAATTTGGGAGGGTTTCGATGGAGCACAGAGGGCCACACTAGGAATTCTGACCCTTAGTGGCTGTGCGACTGTGGGGAAGTCACAAGTTCTGAGGTGAGTTTCAGTTTCCTCATCTGTGAAATGGGAATCATCTTGTAAGGAAACCCTACCTAACAGGGGTGGCGGGAGCCTCAAATGACAAAAAGTGTGTAAAACGTTGTGTAAACCATAATTCACTTATTTGCAAAGGCCAGCTCCTACTACTATCTTCATTATTACTAGACCGGTACAGCTCTGAAGTGGACTTTGTTTCAAAGATGCCTTGAATGCAGCAACGTAGCAGGAATGAGCTTCCTCCAGAACGGCCTTTTGAATACTAATCATCTGGGGAAGATGGAACGCTATCTACTGCTAATGCTTTCAGTTTGCAGCTTGGAAAAATTGACATTTTTAAAAACAGATCCGTAAGCACAGTAGATTTGACGTTTTAATGCACTTAACAATAACATATATTTGCCCCCATCACTGTGCTGTCCACACCGCTGCACCCATGCTCTACTGACTTCTCTGAAGTCTTTTCCCCCGAGTTGACTGTAAGCTCCTGGAGGGCAGGAGCAGTTCTTTTTATCTCTCTATCCTCAGCTCACTACTCGGCGCACAGAATAGAAGCTTCATAAATTTTTGTTGAATTGAGATTTGTAATTTCACTGATGCGGGGATGGAGAACACCTTCCCCCTCTCTGACCTTCACTTGGACAGATCTCCTGAGGTCAGGATGTGATCCTTGACCCAAAGGCCAGGCCAAGGCCTCAGGGGAGGACTCAAACAGTAACCCCTGACCTCCCGACAGACCAAAGAGAAGCAGCTTCTGTCCACCCCTGCCCCCATCCCAGAGGGCACATAAGCTGTAGTCAGCCCCTTGCCCAGCCCTGACCGAGGAAAGCCGATGATAGGTACATGGCTCCTGTCCAGAAGAAGAGCAGGGTCTTTAAGAAAAACCTACAGTCATGTGGTACTCTTGAAGACTATACCTGGAGCCCCCAGACTTATATGGAGGGGAGGGGGGATAGGAAGGCTTAAAGGGAAACAAAATGCATCCAGAAAAGTAAATCCACCTTACCTACAACATAAAAGCAAAGTAATTTTCATGGGAGGCAGACAGAACACTGATGTGGGAGGGGACTCATGTTCTTCTTACGAGGTGCATTAAAATGTGGAGAAGGGGAGTGGGGGAGGGCCTGGGAAGGCTCCCTAAGATCTCTGTCAAGCAAAGGACTGCTCTAAAGGACACTGATGGTGAGGGTTTCCAGGGGCTCAGTCTGGTGACTGTCTGTCTCTGACTTGCTCCTCTGGTCCCCTTTCTTCTGTCCTTCCCCTCTCATTTCCCCTGCCTCTTCTTTTCTCTCCCCAATTTCCCTCTATTCATCTATTATTTGGGTGTGTCCTATACTCAGGGCTGGACCTCCACCCCCATCAGCTTGTATAAAATCAGAGTGTGACCCAGACTTGGTGTGAAGCGTCATTCAGCTCTGTTTGTTTTAGAAAAGGCAGTATGGTCCAGTAGACAGAGAGCTGGGAAGACCAGAGGGTTCAGGCCCTCCCTCTGACACATTCTGGCTGCTTCCCTGGCCAAAGAGGAGCATTGCAACCCTCCTCTCCCGATGCCCAGAGAAGTCTGGGCAGACTGGACCCAGCTGGTGCCAACCCTACAAATTCTAAGCAATCCTATTTCCCTGATGGGTGTGGAGGCCTGCAGCGTCTCTCCCCAATGAAGGCAGCCCTGGATTGCTGCAGGAGCTGGGGCCTGCTCCTCTGGCTCTGCAGAAGCACGTGACCCAGGCTGCCTGGGCGGTTTTCCACGAGGAAAAGCCTCAGAAAGAAAAAAAGAAAACCAGAGCACGCCCAAGGTGTCATGCACCTGGACCACCACGGGGTGGCGCTCCAATACAGGACATGGATAGACTCTTCTTTACAGGCTCAGAAAGAAAAATCAGTATCTGAGCTGGAAAGGACCTCAGACCTAGAACCTGAATGGGAACCCAAACCTGACAAAGGAGTGTCATCCCACCCTGTCCTCTAGGGAGGGAAACTGCAGTAAACCCACCTTACATTTGTATGACCATCCCCCTTTGAAAACGGCACCCACCACTCAATACAATCAGCATTTATTAATCTCCCAAAATGCCCCCAGCACACTGCTAGGCCCTGAGGCTGCAAAGGCAAAGACAATAACAGCCCAAGCCATGAAGGAGCTTAGACTGGGGAGGCAGCTTGGGAGAGGCTGAGTTCAAATCCCACCGTGACACTGTGGACTTGTTGCTTAGCCTGAGTTGGCCTCAGTTTCCTCATCTGTAAAAAGAGATCACTGCACTAGACAACTTCTTGGGTCCCTTTCAGTTCTAAATCTACATGTCCCTGATTTCTAGCTTGACTCCCTGGAGGCTTTGGTAAAGTTTTCTTGGTAAAGTTCCTACTGGAGAAAGCAACATGTCCACAAAGAAGTATATACATATTCCTGTGAACTATTGCTGAGAATTTCAATTCAACTTGACAAGAAGCACCTACTATGCACCAAGCACAGTGCTCAGGGCTGGACACACACACACACACACACACACACACACACACACACACACACTTACTTTCTCAGAAATTCTTCCAGGCCTTGACGTCGCTGATCAACGTGCTGCCGATTATTGATGTTGAAAAACAGGTTTTTAGAAGGAAGTTCGGGAAGCTGTCTAATAATACAGAAAAGGGAAAGAAAAAAACCCAAATGAAGTAATCTTGTAATCAAGCTACTTTCACCAACACACAGTGAAGGAACACAAAGTGGGGCAGGGGGGAATCACAGCTTTTCATCTTCATACGGAACGTAATAACTGAACTTGCAGGAAAAAGAAACTACTTATTCACTGCCAGTGACAAGCAAGAAGCCAGGAAAGCCCAGAGGAGTCTTTTCAAAGTTGCCAACTTAGACACAGCAATGAAAGAAATGTGGGGTTGGACTCATTATTTTGGGGGAAAGTATTAAATTCAATTCAACAATCCAGCCAGCATTTCCTCAGGGCCTAATATGTGCCAGGCACCTGCTAAAGGCCAGAGATACAAGTGAAAACAGCCCCTGCCTTCATGATTCTCAGGCTGTACCGGAGAGGTGGGAGAGAGATGCAAGGATATACAAATAAGTAAATAGAATCTAATTGTGAGGATAACAAGGTGGGGGTGGGGCAGCTCTGGAAAAGCTTCCCTTTGGAGGTGGGACCAGAAGGGGCTTCGGAAGGAAGAGAGGCCAACTTCAAGAGGCAGAGGTGAGAAAGGAGACCATTCCAGGCAAGAAGGATGGCCCTGTGCAAAGGTCTGTGGGATTCTGGGAGCATCCAGTGGCCTCACCTGCCCAGAATGGGGAAGAATGTCAAATAAGTTGGTAACATCGGCTGAAACCAGACCGTGAGGGGCTTTAAATGCCAAGCTGGGGAGAATGTATCCTGTCCCAGAGGCAAACTGCAGGAAACACTAGATGGGCAGGGGAGTGACCTGGTAAGAACTATACTGACACAGATGAATTCTGCAGAGACTATATTGGAGAGGGAGAGACCGATCAACCATCATTTACTGAGGACCTCCTAGGGCAGCTAGATGGCACAGTGGTTAGAGCACCAGGTCTGGAGTCAAAAAAATCTGAGTTCACCTATAACCCCAGACACTTACTAGCTATGTGACCTTGGGTAAGTCCCTTCATCCTGCTTGCCTTAGTGTCCTCATCTGTAAAATGAGCTGGAGAAGGAAGGAAGTGGCAAAAGACTCCAGTATCTTTGCCAAGAAAATTTCAAATGGGGTCATAAAGAGTGGAACGTGACTGAACAACAAAAAGTCCTGCTATGTGCTGGGAACCGTGCCAAGACCCGAGGATACAAAAAGAGGCCAAAGACAGTCCGGCCTCTCAGGGGCTCGCGGTATAAGGAGGGACAGAGAAACCTGCAAGCCACCATACACAAGGCAAGCTGGATCGAGTGAAAAGGAGATAATTAACCGAGGGCTGGAGCCAATGCCGAGGAGATCGCAGCCGTCCAGGGGCAGGCGCCAACGGCCAGAACAGGGCGATCGCCGGCCGTGTGAGCGCACAGAGCCGGCCAGAGCGAGGAGACGGTTAGGGAAGAGGCGCCCGGCGGCCGAGGGCTGAAGTCTGGGGGCGGCCCCGACGCCCTGCCCATGGAAGCGGGCCAGGTGGAAGGGGACCGAGACCGGGACCGGGACCGAGAGGGGCTCGAGGCGCCATGGCCAGGCTTTCACTTACATCAGCAGCGCGTTGCTCTGAAGTCGCTGTCGGAGCCACACAAATTCCCGAAACCGCCTCCGGACGCACGAGGTTTTCATCGTAAAACACATGCTGTTGGTCTAGGGAAAGGAAATGGACACCGGTCAGCCCGCTCAGCTTTACGTGGATTCTTTGCTTCAGGTGAAGCATCGACGTGGATGAGATCAATGCGAGGCAAAAAGCCGCCCCTGCCCTCAAGGAGCTTCCATTCTAGCAGGGGAGATGACATGCAAACAACTCAGTACAAACACAGGATCCACTGGAGGTGTACCCCTTGGAGGGAAGGCGCCAAGATTAGGGAGGCCCCGGCAAAGGGAGAAGGAAAGGGAACAAGCATTTATTAAGTGCTTACTGTGTGCCGGCACTGCGCTAAGCACTGGGGACATAAAGAAAAGCTTCCCCATTCTAGAACCCTATGAAGTGCTTTCCTTTGATCTAGAACCCTGTGAAGATCAAGATTAAGAGAGAAATCACCAAATTTCTATTTCAACTGAGCCTCCACAGAAGGCTGAACTAAAAATTCTCCAGAAAAAAATTCTGAATCATGAAAAATTAGCCTGGGGCAGGGGAAGGAAAGTTATCCTCAGAGTCAGGAAGACCTGAGTTCAAGTTCCACTTCCAACAGATATTGGCAGTGTGACCTTGGGCAAGTCACTTACCCATGAAATCCCCCCTCTAAGGTTATAAATGGCACAAGACACAGCACCAACAGAAAAGGGAGTTTCCTTGCCTGGAGTTCCCTTCCTGCTGCTCCTGGAACAAAACATTTCATCTCCAGACTCCAGGCGCTTGCACCGGCTGCTCCCTGGGCATGAAATGAATACTCTCCCTCCTCATCTCCATCTCCTGTCTTCCCCAGCTTCCCTCAAGGCCCAGCTAAAATGCCACCTCCTACAGGAAGCCTTTCTTGATCTCCCTGAATGCTGGTGCCTTCCCCGTGGTGGCCATCTCCAACAGATCCTGTCTCTGTTTTGTCGGCACATAGTTTTGCATGTTGTCTCACCCATTAGACTGTAGGCTCCTTGAGGGCAGCGACTGTCTTGCCTTTCCTTGCTTCCTGGCTTGGCACAGTGCCTGGCACACAGTAGGTGCTTAATAAATGTTTAATGACTGACTGATGAAATCTAAGATCCAAATAAACATAGAACCCTAGACTAGTCCTCCTATCTCCATCTTAAAGGACGGCCATTATGAACCAGGAAAAACCATGGACACTCATAATTTCCCCTCCATGCTCATACTCTGGTCTTATTCCAAGTAACATGACAAACTAGCTACTCTTTAGTGTTGTTGTTGGGTCTTGGGATTTTTTCCCCCCATAGGCAAAATGACTCAGGCTCTGGACTAAGGTAAATTAATTCCACGCAATTACTCACTCCCCACTTTCTAATTACAAGTGTGAAATATTTTGCATCTCTTAAGGGGAAATACACATCTGTTTATCTATGGAATTTATTTAGTTTAGTCATATGTTCTATGCCCTGTCCCCAAAAAAAGGAAAGAAAAAAAAACCAAAAAAGCAAGAAACAAAGGAGCATTTAATGAGGGAATTTCAAATTTCATCCTATCTGGGAATGGAAAGTTCCACACTCACCAGAGCATTAAGGAGAGGCAGTGTGACCTAAATATTAGAACCCTAAAACTGAAGTCACTCAGTCAGACAACTAGCATCTCACCATGTACCATGCCTTATGCTAAATGAAATCCAACCTTAGACACTTATAAGCACTTTAAGGTTCAAGAAATGCTTTCTGTGTTATTTTATTTCTCTCCGCTCTCAGATTCAGCTATGCTTGTTATTGTTTTCATCATCACCATCATCGCTGTTATTTATTGTCATTATCATCGTTAATTGTATCATTATCATTATTGTTTATCATCATCATCATCATTATGATTACTCTAAAACTGAACTAGGTTTCTAAAATAATTTTGGGAGCCAGCTTTAAAAGTTGCAGAAAATATCAAGTCTTGATGGTCATCGCATTAAGCGTTAATGAAAATTAACTTCTCTAAAGTCAAAACCCTTTCCATTCTTCTCCAAGTCCCCCATGACTCCCCATCAAACACCTATGAGCCCCCTTGCCTTTGCCCTGTTCCTTAGGGTGAATCTTCTACTCACATGGATGCAGATCTCATAGTCAATGTAGGAGTGCCAGAAGTCTTCCTTCTGAATGCGAGGATCCCGGACCCAGACACTCACGAACTCCTGGGAAGACATACCAAGCCAAGGAATTTGTTTTAGGATAAAAGGGGCCTTGAAAGCCTAAAGAATGAGTGACTTGGGCAAAGAAAACAGGAGACAGTGTTCCAATCCTCTAGAAGAAGAAGTGAGATGTGACTCATTGACCCTCAACACGCCTGGGAAAATTCCTTCCCACAGAGTTAGCCTACCCAAAAAGGAACAATTTTTAGAATAAGGCAATGCAGAGATTTTAGTTTGGAAAGAGTTGGGGATTTCTCCCCCAAACTTCATTCAATGCAACAAACATTTAGACAGTCATACCGGGTTTGTTAACATATAAGAAATAATTTCAAGAGAGTATTTCTATCCTCACCACCACCCCCCTGCAATAGAATAGACACTCCTTGAGGACAGGAACTGATCCACTTTTGTCTCTGTATGCTCAGCACCTAGCACCGTACTTAACACATAGTAGGTGCTTAATAAATGTGTGCTAAATTGGATTGGATTGTAATGATCTCAGGATAAGGGAAAGAGCTGAAATCCCAGATGGCAACAGGGAAGCAGCCCCCTCCCCCCCCCAACCAAGTTCCCAGATCCATCCTTTCCTTTGATAGAGGATCTTACTCTGGTTTGACCCCTTCTCTAAAACAGGAGTTTCCACTCAATCCTCTAAGGAAAACATTTTTGCGCAAATATACACTGAAGTGTGTACCTTTACTTTTAAATTATACGATGTAATAACACTATTAATCATGTATGCTAAAAAATACAAAAATAGACATTTCAAAAGAATGAGATAAAAATGAAATAACAATTTATTCGGGAGGTAATGGGGGGACACTGGAGTCTACTGGGTAGAAGAATGACCTGCTCTTTGGGAAAATCACCTGGGCAGGGGAGTGGAGGATGGGCTGGAGTGGTGGGGAGAGACTGGGAGCACGGAGGCCGGTTTTTGTCTTTCTGTTCCCAGCATCTAGCGGCACCCTGGCACATAGTAGGCCCTGAGAGATCGTCCCATGAAGAAGGAGGCCATCCTCAGAGTCTGGTTCTACTTGACCAGAGGAGAGCCCTGGGGATGGCTTCTGGCCACAGGTGACTCAGGGCCAAGAGGAAGGTCCCCTTCTTGTCTATTGTGACTGAGTAGATGCTGGGGCTCAACCATCCGCCTCCACCTCTTTCCCCCTTTCCAACAGTGAATCCACTCAGGGCCCTTTTGAGCTGTCTGCCATGGAGGAATGAAGGGATGGGAAAATGACCGAACTCAACCTCAATTCACCAAAATTAAGGGAATACGTGTCAAGTCGTATGCTTGAGTTCAACAAAGCAAAGGCATGAGAACAGAAGTGAAGAGCTGTTAAGAAAAAGATCTGGAGGTTCTTGTGGGCCACAAGCTTAACATGTGCCATTTCAGACAAAGGAACTAATGAAATCCCAGGTAGTATTCCCAGAAGTGCAGCCTCCAGGGCAGAAGGCAGGCCTGGAACTCTGCCCTGCAGGGATCCCCAGGCCACATTCAGAGTTCAGGCATTCCCCTTCACACTCTACAGCAATCTTGTAATTCTACAATTCAACCTGGGAAAGAAAAAAATTAACTGGGGCCTTTCCCTTCTTTCACCAGCTTGTGAAATACACAAGCCAGGCCCTGGCCATGTGGTTTGCGGTTAGTCACTGGTTAAGCGTGTGAGGAAGTAGGTGATGACCCATCTGAGTCAGGACAAGAGGAAAAGGCCAGGAGGAGGGCTCACATCTCCTCCAACCCAGAAGAAAGAATGTGTTGGCATCTCGTTAACAATAGGGGTAGGGATAATCCAATCCAATCAGTGTTTATTAAGTTCCTACTGTGTGCCAGGCACAGTGCTAAGCTGGGGGATACAGTTTATAAAAAGAAAGTCAGTTCCTGCCCTCAAGAAGCTTACAATCTAAAGGGGGAGACTGAGGCAGGAAAGGAAGAGGCATAAAGACTGGACTTGTGATTTCATCGATACAGGGAACTCTCTACCAGAGCAGGTCAGCACCATCTAGAGCACCACAGAGATCTGTTGAGGGTCAAACAGACAGAGGCACACTGCCTATAATAATAATAATAATAATGATAATTTAATAATGTTACTAATATCGACTTATATTTGTAGCTTATGTTCTCCTTTTGAAAGCAATATTAACCAGCCTGTGACCATCATTAAAAAGAGGTGTAAGATTTTCAGAAACGTTAAAATCACTAGAGCAAAATGACTGAATTTGAGTCAGAGGGACCTTGAAAAGTTGGGGGAATCAAGTTGGGGGGGGACTAAAATTGCAATACTTTTTTTAAAAAAATCATACTAAAAAAGTTATGTTCTTATTGTAATCTAGGTTTTTAGCTAAGTCATCATGTGGATCTTGCCCATAATAATACCCTGTTTGTACTCATATTGAAAAACAGAATTTATTCATAGAAAAACTACAAACTAGATTGTAAATGATTCCATTTGTCCCACAGAGGCACCAACGACCAGTTACTGAGCTCGGAAAAAAATCACCTAGATTTCTCTGCCACCACCTCTCTCCTCCCACTCCTCCCCCCCCATAAGAAAAAGGCAAAAACTTGAGAAAAGGCTTAGGAAAGAAGCTTAATTTCCTCCAATGTCAAGATGAAAGAGAAAGCATTCATTTCTAGAAAAGAAACTGAAAAGAGAAGGGGATGGGGAGAGAAATCAATGTATTACCTACAAGTTAAATAAGTACCCAGGGTCTCCTGTCATGATTGCGGTTTCTGCTTCCCTGGGTAAGTCAATTAACTTCTGCCTGACTCAGTTTCCTCAACTGTAAAACAGGGATAATCACAGCACCTACCTCCCATGGTTGTGTTGAGGATCAAATGAGATCCTAATTGTAAAGTGCTTAGCCCAACGCTTGGCACATAATAGGTGTTAAATAAATGTTAGCTATTAGGCAAAACGAGACACACATTTTTTGGACATGGACAAGATGAGAATTTGTTTCATTTGGCTGTGGAGACTGATTACAAGGGTTTTGCTTTTCTCCTTTCCCTTCTCCCTCAGTGCAGTCGTGGAAGAGAAAAAAATAATTTTTATAATTAAAAAATAATAATAATAATAAACTTAATTTCAAAATAAAATATGCCGGCTCCCACCCCCTACCTCCAGGTCACCATCATGTTTCTGAGAAACTGTTTTCATGCAAAAGAATGGTATTATACATAAGAAATGATAAAGATGCAAAATTAGAGAAACTTGGGGAGAATTATATGAACTATTGATACACAGAGAAGTAAGCAGAGCCAAGAGGGCACTTTACACCATAACCCTAATAACATTCAAGGAAAACAACATAGAAACACTTCAGAGCACCAGTCCCTGATGGTGACTTCAGGGGACCAATGGTGAAGCATACCGCCAATCTCTGGGCAAGGAGGTGGGGGACTACAGGTGCAGAGTGAGGCAAACAGACATGGCATTTTTCTGGGGGGGTGAGGCAATGGGGATAAGTGACTTGCCCAGGGTCACACAGCTAGTAAGTGTCAAGTGTCTGGACTGAGGCCGGATTTGAACTCAGGTTCTCCTGACTCCAGGCTGGGTGCTCTACCTACTGCTCCACCTAGCCACCCCTGGTCCATGTATTTCTTTTTCTTGACTACACTTACTTCCCAGACTCACAAAATTTGAAGGTCAGAAGGGAGATATCCAGTCCAACCCATACACAATAGGACTCCCCGCTGTAACATCCCTGACCGGTAGTCACAGTTGAAGACCCCTATTTGTTACAAGGGAAAGATATGGCACTGAGGGAGGCAGGTCATTGCAGAGCACCACTGATGGTTTTTCAAGTGAGCATCACCGGAGCATCTTTTAATAGCTCTCATTTTCAGGTCATTTTCTAGAGCAGACGACTGCCACCCCCTGAGCTAATGACTAACCACCCTTTCCCTGGCTTGGGTCAGTGGTTCTGCCCACTTCTCCTGGGCCTCCCCATGACTCTGAGAACAACTTTCCCAGAATCCTCTCACTGTCTGTGACTGCCCACACAGTACTAACAGCAGAGTGATTTCCGTCAGCACTAAGAGAAGGCTAAAGGGCACACCTTGACAAGGTCAGAAGGCTGTCCTCTCTTCAGCTGGTTCATGTTGCCACTGAGGCAGGCTCTATCCTTTTGCTTCTGTCTTAATCTCCAGAGAAAGAGGCTGTCTGGCAATGTCCTCCACTGAGTTAATAGGCCGGTTTTACCAACCAGACACTGAAAACCACATGTGGCCACCCATGACCCCAGAAAGAGGAGTCGCCACATGTAGGGACCTCTATGGCGCCACCGCCTCTTCTCTGGTCTCATTCCCTTTGACCTTCCTCGGCACTTCACCCTGCTGACTGCCTGGGCTTCTCGAGCCTTTAGTCTGGGGTCTCTAAGACAATTCCCAGTTCTTCACCTATTTTCCAACCCTCCTTTTTTTAATCTCTTTCACCAGCTCCTGGAGGTTCAAACTCAGTTTATTCAAGGTGTCTGAGGTCAATGTGAATTGAGGTCTTCCCAACTTCAGGTATAATGCATTATCTACTTTGGGCTGGATGGGTAAGACATTCTTTTGAAGACATGCCTCAGTCTCCTCAACTATAAAATGAGGCGGTTGGAACTGATGACCATTTTGGTCCCTCCAGGCTTTTATGACCCCCTAATGTCTCAAATCTCTTAACTTCTCCCAAGAGGCACATGCCCCTATTTCATCCGACCTGTAGGCCCTTCAGGAATGCCTGATGAGCCAGTCTGGGGCTGGCCTCAAGTTTATCTCTTTTGCAAAAGTCGTCTGCAAAGATAATGCAAAGCAGAGACAGTGTGGTCTGGGACATGAAGAGCTGACCAGGAAGACCTGAATTCGAGGTGCTGCCAGATACATTCAGGCCAGCTGTGTGGCCCTGGACAAACGTCCTGGCGCCCCAAGCCAATGGATGGAGGCCAGCCCTGAAGTCAGGAAGATCTGAATTCAAATCTGGCCTCGGACACTTACTAGCCGTGTGACCCTGGGCAAGTCA